CACAAGGCCCCCAATTTTAAAGGGCCCATTTTTTTTTTCCTATTCGTATTTAATAAAAAAAATTAAAAAAAATAATATAAAAAAAAAAAAAAAAAAAAAAAAAAAACTGTAAAGTCTCCTTGTTTCACTTTCATTATTTTCCTCAATTATTTTCCTCTCTTCATTAGAACTTCCATATTAATTTCTACAATTTTTCAAATTCATCCATCAATTCAAATTAATACTATCATAATTGCATCAATCAATTCCATGAAAAATTTTATTTCATATTTCTCCATTCAAGAATTTTCAACAGAAAAAAAAAATATATACTCAGCCAAATTCAAATGATTTTTCTTCCACAACAATGGCAATGAGCAATTAATTTTGATTTTCTATAATTATTCTTATCAAACGGTGGATTATCTTCCGTCATTCATCAATCATCTATATCTAATTCCCAATTGATACACAATCAAACAAAAACAAAAATGAATTGAATTAATTTCACTTCTTGCCCATCGATTAAAGGTAAAATTTTGACATTTTTTATTTTTTATTTATATTTTTACTGGTTTTGATGAGGTCAATTGAAGCAATTTTTTTTTTTTTTTTTGTATGGGCCTGCTGGTTTCTAATTCTTCTACAGGCCTGTATATATTATATTTATGCAGTATGTTCATCATTCCTATTATTTCACATCTAGCTGAATTTTTTTTTTAATTTTGCAACTTGGATGTTAGAATATTAATTGGCTGTTTTTTGCTTTGGCCTTTGGGTTAGAGTGTTAATTAAATTTGAAATCTTGATTGTTTGCACGGCCCTAGTATAATTGTAATCATTGTATATGTAACACTATTATTATAATTATGATATTATTATATTGTATCAGATATAATCTTTTCATCTTTTGCATATGGTTTGATATGATTTCATTGTTATATCATTGTTATACCAAAGTATTTTCATATTGTAATAGGAAATTTTGTCTGGAACTACCCTAAAGATAAGGTCGTTTGCGAATAACTACCCAATTTTTTTTATTTATTTGTTTAGAACTACCCGCAAGTTTGAAAACGTTTGGGTAGCACTACCCAATAACGTTTTCCGTCTAATTAAGACGTTACTGAGGCCTACTTTTTTCACTTTTTCCACCTGATTAACTCCCCCCAACTATCTTCTCTCCTCCTCTCTCCTCCCTAATTATTTTTCCCTCCATTCTCACTCAAAAACTCCAAGAGAAGATAATCAAGCAATTGAACGCAAATTCTTAGTAATTCAGGTAATGTTTCACACTTTTCTTTTAATTCATTGCTTGTTGTATTTGTTTACAAGTTTTAATTGAATTCAATTAACATAATTAGGGTTTAAATTAGTGATTAAGATTAGGGTTTATGGGTTCAAATAAATTTTGGGGGTTTTGATTTCTAGGGTTTGGGGGTTCAATTGAGTTATAGGTTTAAGTTATTTTGGCTTTGAGATTGAATTCAATTGCATTTTAATTACTAATTGGACATTGTAATTGGTAGGATGTCTAATTCTTCATACCACTCCGCTTTGCAATATCATCCAAACAAGTGTAATTGTGGCATTCCACCAAAATTGGAGACATCAAAGACTACAACAAACCTTGGGAGAAGATTCTTGGCTTGTAAATCTATGATGCTGCATCTGCTAGAAGAGGATGAAAATTTATCAAATGGATTGATGAAGAAACACTTGAGAGGCAGAAGGTTGTTACTTAATGAAGAAAATTTTTCAAATGGATTGATGTAAGTTTAATTGATGAAGAAAATTAATTAGGGAGGAGAGAGGAGAAGAGAGGTAATTGGGGCAGTTAATTAGGTGGGAAAAGTGAAAAAGTAGGCCCCAGTAACGTCTTAATTGGACGGAAAACGTTACTGGGTAGTGCTACCCAAACGTTTCATAACTTGCGGGTAGTTCTACACAAATTAAAAAAAAAAAAAAAAAAAGGGTAGTTGTTCATAAATGACCATATCTTTAGGGTAATTTTAGACAAAATTTCCTTTGTAATAATATATATAGAGAAATTGTGCATTGCCCAAATTATTAAGAAAAAATTGTATAATTTTCACATTATTAAGGGCCTCTTTTTCAATTTGGAATAGGGCCCCCAAAATTTTTGCTACAGCCTTGCATCTATATCATCCATTACCTGAATGATATCCTCTATTGATTCAATAATATCATTTATAAGATGGATGATATCATCTATTGTGTTTATAATATCGTTTATTGCCTGAATGATATCATTTATAGGCGGAATAATATCCTCTATTGATTCTATGATATCATCTCTAAGCTTTAAGCTAGATGATATCATTTATAGGCTAGATGATATCATTTATTGTGTCTAAGATATCATCCATTGTGTGGATGATATCATCTACAGGTTGGAGGATATCATCTATAAGCTGGGGTTGTTGTGAGACAAGCCTCCCGACTCCTGCAATAGCTTCTCAAATATTAAATATGTACATTATATCGTAATAGTTAAATCTAAGAAAAGCAAAAATATTATGTAAAATGGCACACGAAAAAAATAACAAACTTATTTCAATTCTTTATATCATATTTTATTAATATTCACCGTGCGTTGTATGAAACTTAAAGTAGTATTCGATCTAAATTTTTTCAACAACTAAATAACTAGTAGAGACCTACACATTATAAGATACGTAGATATGTTTAGAAATGATAATCTAATACTCACCCCATAATATCTAAGTACATAGTAAGATAAGATCTTTTTTTAAGTGTTTTGAATAAAAAAAAGATACATTACACTAGATAATGCCTTTACTAAAATTCTTAGGAACAACCATTTATTAATTGGATATCAATTTTGATATGATATGATAGCAAATAAGTTGGTGTCAAACTAGTACGAGTTTGATGATAATTTTAAGCTTGCTCAACTAAATGATTTGCACAGTTGTACATATAAATTTGAGCAAGAACATATATAAATGATTTTGTGTATATATGTAACTTTATTTTTAATAGAATTTACAACACGAAATTAAGGAACATTATTTATTTATTCATTATTGTTTTATAAAGGATTGTTCCTAACAAATACGAAATATTGAAAAACTAACTATAAGTTTTAATATCCAGCATGAAACTAATACGGATAATGAATTTGTCAATTTTGGTACAAAGGTGTTTCATCGATTTTCTTAGCAATAAGTTCATTACAGAGATTCCATACAATGGTCACAAGAGCTTTTTGGCGGTAATTTTTTACACCAACTTTTGTGTACAGTTGGCTACACCGTGTGGTGAGCTGATACATGCCAAGTAATCCTTGACCGACCAAATAATCCCTGATCGATCAAATAACTCCTGACCAAGTAACCCCTGATTAAGTAATCCCTGACCAACTTAGTAATCCCTGATCGAGTGAATAATTCCTGACCGATCGAGTAACTTTGTATTATAGTATTATGTAGCCAATAATATAGGTTATATGTTAACTTTGTTTTTTTTATGGGAATAAAGGATACGGTTTTATCTTGTAAGATTATCATAATATTCTTCTCATGTTTAATTATATGAGAGATCGAGTCAGTATAAGATATCGTGCCTATACATTAAAATAGTATCAATTCAAACATGTGCCACTGTTGTGTGTTGTCTTTAACCGAAATTAACTATTACATCTCTGTACTTCTCTATTCAGTCAATTGTGCATGTAGCCAGCCTGTTATCGTTAGACAATACAAAACATATCCTAGACACTAAGCATAATTCTGACCAAAAAATTATTTTTTAAATAAATTTAATCTCATCATTTTTTACTACGTATATTCTATACTTGTATCAATTTAAATAATCACAAAGAGATTAGTTACTACCGTAATAATGTTGTAACTAGAGTACGTATGTCCTAAATGATTCCGTTGTCCAATATATAATTTCATCGAATGAAATACTGACAATTGTTATATTGAGAATGGTTGAGGTAAAAAATTTCTATTATTATTAATGTGTTTATAGTAATTACTCATTGAATTTATTTAATTTGTTTAATTTAGAAAGCTAACATGACAATCTTGTATACGTACTAATTGAATTTGATCCATAATTCCTATTAATTTTTTTGTATGGCTTATATTTAAATAATAACTTATTTTTAACCTGTACACATTTGTACTGGTTGCTTATACTATTATATGAAATAAAATTAGTACTCGTATTGAGTAAATACTATAACCCTTTAAATATATGATAGCTATAAGAGGTTGAACGAGTAAGTTATAGATTTGTTCATTAGAAACCATAGAAGGGTTATTGATGCACATATAGCAGACTCTAACATTACCAACTAGTTTTAGATTTGTTCGTTAGAAACCAATAAACCATAGAAGGATTATTGATGCATAGAGCGGTGTAAATATATTAAACTTATTATAAAATCGGTCTACATAAGATTATTATTTAATACAGTACTAATTAAGTGTAAAACTCTTATCACCACAAAAGCCTCCAATAATTAGCTATGTATAGAAATATTGAAGGCAAAGGTCAAAACCATGCATGTAATGCACCTTATCAAACTTATAAATCATAGTTTAATCTCATGTACGATGCATGTTCTGCGGTTATGCCTACATACACAGCAGCTAACAAGGAATAAATCACACAAAGATATCACCTAATATAATTATTGAAACCTTATTGTAATACTCCCTTCATTCCGCAATGATATTCCTGTTTAGAATCTTTGACTTTTTAAAAATAAGAGAGAATCTTCTTAATTTCTCTCAATCTATGAGAACAAATATAGTCATGTGACATCTAGTTTGATTCGTCTTGATGAGTACATTATTAATATTTAACTTTTATAATTTTTGCTAATTTAATACTAAAAATATTTGTAGTCATAGATGAATAAAAACTTACATCGAATTACGTAAACATAAACATTATTATAAAACGTAGGGAGTAATACTTATATATTACTTACGCAATAATTATTGAAATGATATTGTAATACTTAATTAAATAATATTGATTAAGTTGACGTAGATTTTCTATAATTAAATTGGACAAATAAACTGTACTATTACTCTTCAGTTGGTGCAAACAAGCAAAGAAGCATTTACTTCCCTTATTAAATTCTTCCAAGAGAAAAAAACCTCTATTAAATCACTCACCTCTTTTTTGAGGGACCCACTACATTTCCTCTCCACCTTCGCATTCATTTTCATCATCCTTTATAACTTACTCGTTCTCAACCTCTTTATTTGCTTCTTCATTAACGAAAAACAAACAAAATTTTTTGTAAGAGCAAAAAAAAAAAAAAACACAAAAATGAAGCTTCTTCCTACAATTTTGTTCAAACCAAAAGATTGGAGGCCAATATGCACGCAACAACCTAAGACATCGTCTTTCCGAATTACGACGTTGAAGGATGATCATATCTACAAGACCATCAATTCCGTGTATTTCGACAATGAGGCGGATACAATCGAAACCCCGGACTCGTGGTTTACGAACTCATCCGAGGCAGGGAGTTTGTCTACCGCTGAGTGTGACGACACTTCGGTGGGAGAGAGGGAGATTCATTTAGAGGCGATAGTCCGCGGAGCACAACAGTCGTCCTCCGTGGACCATCGCCTGTTTTTTGACCGTGGAGAGTCAGACTCCCCGAGGTTACAGAATACTGTAACGGAAGAAAAGATGAGTTCTAGAACGGCCGAAAAGCGGCCATTTAAGAAGTCGGTAGCGATGTCGCTCGAAAGCGAGGACCCGTACGTGGATTTTAGGAAGTCGATGGAGGAGATGGTGGAGAGTTTAGGAGTTAGAGATGATTGGGAAGGGTTAGAGGAGTTGCTTCGTTGGTATTTGAAGATTAATGGAAGAGAAATTCATGGGTATATTATTAATGCTTTTGTTGATTTGTTAGCTGAAGTTAAAATCATTGATGATGATGTTAAAAATGGTGATTATAATCATGAAATTTCTAAGTCTACTACTTCTTTTTCTTCTGCTGCTTCTTCTCTTTCTTCTTTGGGTTCTTCTACATTATTAGATCCTATGATTTATTGAATTATTTTTTGTTTTAGCATTGTTTTGATTGACTTTTTTGCCCTTTTTATTGATTGTATTATTATGTAAAGTTTGGATAAATATGTATAATTTTGTAAATAGATATAGTAATATACTAATATTAATGTAATGTTTGAGAGAGTTAGATGATTAATGTTGAGATAATTTTTAATTTTTAACTGCATGAATTATAGATGTGGTTGACTAGTAGTAATATTAAATGTTGTTTACGTTGTTGGATGTGGTCAAACTGTAAGATTTTAATTTCATGACCACTGAGTTAAATTGATTGGAGAGTGGATAGTTTTGGTATCTGCAACCTCCATTAATTGTGAGACTGTTTGTGCATTGGAGTGATAGCTCAGTGGAGCCACTCTCCGTTTCCGTGGCTTAGACCCGGGATCGAGGCACACCCGGGCATTTCCACTCACATATTCCTCTTGTAATATGAAGGATTGTGGGGCCTTGCTTAACAATTAAAAAAATAAACTAAAATAAAATAATTGTGAGATGGTCCACTGTAATACTTCGTAATATATGCTAAAATCATGCGTCGATTGGTGTAATTAATGTTCATTTTAATCTAATATTTCTACTTTTAGTTATCTTATCTAACGCCCCCGCGGCGTTCGTTAGCTTTATTTTTCCTGAGTAATTACTCGTATTGTTTACAAATTTTGGGCCAAGATTATTGTTTCATATTATTTAGTACCATACCTTATATTTTGTGGTATAGATATTCATCCTGTATTTCTTATTTCTATTCTTTCCTAGTATTAGTCTCGTATGGTAATACTAGCTCTGTTTTATATTATTTGCAATGATTTGACATGAAGTGTGAATAGAAAATGTCTGATCGTTGCAAATAATATAAAACAGAGGTAGTAGTTCTTTTATTTTAAGCAGATTTATTGATTCTATACTCGTTGTATCATAGGCAGATCTACTTTAATTTGTATAATTAAATTTAATTCTTCCGTTTTTTTAGTTGCATCAATTTGCGAATTGCGGACTTCTAACAATTAAAAAAATAAACTAAAATAAAATAATTTTGAGATGGTCCACTGTAATACTTCGTAATATATGCTAAAATCACGCGTCGATTGGTGTAATTAATGTTCATTTTAATCTAATATTTCTACTTTTAGTTATCTTATTGATTAAGGGATTTTGCTCCCACCAATCGGAATGCGCCACGTGGACCAATCAGGTCCTGCCAAGTGTCCCCCAGTTGGAACAGTCAGGGCTTCCCACGTGGCACGCGCTTATTCGTCCACCTTGGACCTGTTATGTCAAGACATGTGGCATACTCCATGCCTAATGGAGAAACCGGCCACCCAGGCCCAACTTCCGAGGGAAGCCCAATCGGCCCTAGGTTTACCTAAACCTAGGATGGGCACGTTTCCCAAGGTTATAAATACCTCCCTTAATCCTCATTAAGGGGAATTACAGAAAGAGAACAGAAACATTACGGAAAAAACACATTAATTACACACAGTAATAACCGGCTGATCTCGCTTACAAAGCAGATTACCTACATTAAACACTCTCACCTAGAGAGACCAAATCACTTTAATTTCCGCATTAATTACTCCTTAATCCGGTACTAACTTGACCGTTGGAGGCGGAGCTCACAGGAGTCTCCGTTATTTTGCAGGTACAGGCGTCCGGTTCCAGTCTCGGAATTGTAACTCTCCCGCAGGACATCAGAAAACCCCGAAACATTTGGCGCCGTCTGTGGGGAGAGTACTTCTGAGATGGCATCCAAGTCTGTACCGACTCCTGAAGAGAGGCGTCCCCTAGACGACCCTCAAGTTCAGTCGGACCATAATACCGAAAGTGAATTTGAAGTTGAAGCTCATACAGCTTCAGACGGGACCCTAAGAGCCCGACGTACCCGTCATACCGAAAGGAGGGAACGGGAGCATCTTCAAACAGGAAGCGAGCCAGCAGGCGCACCGCCTGTTCGGCAACAGCCGACTGATGGGTCTGCTCCCATCACAAGGAACGAACTCATGACCTTCATGAGAGACTTCAAGGGAGAGATTCAAGAGTTGATCAACAAGAAGCCGCCTGCTCCAGTCAAGGAGCAGTCGGCCAAGAAACCCTCCACTTCACTAAAGAGGAAGCCAGTTCAAGGGCGAGAGGCGACTCCTCATCCTAAATCTAGGAAGCAGGAGCCACCTGCCCTTGATTTCACAAAATTCCGTTATCCTACAGGAAATAGGAAACCTGTTCGTCATATTCAGGCGGACGGGTCGAAGCAAACATTCACAGATGCTCGGCTACTGCTAGAGCAGAAGAAGAGTGACCGATTGTCAGAGTCGGCCTCTACTTCAAACTTTCAAGACAGTTTGCGAAATGCCTCGATGAGGCATACTCAGTAGTACCATGAGAGTCAGTCAGGCGGCACCTCCCGTCAGTCCGGCTTTCATAGTGACCAGGCGGTACCAAACTTACCATTTGTGCCGCAACAACAATTTTTTTGCAGCCACCTCCGTTTGGTGGACCTGCAGCAAAAAACGTCCAACCTATGGACTGGCAGCTACGGTTGCTTAGACTTGGTGAACAGCCGTCGGCCTTCTCCAAGGAAATTACTGAAGCTGCTCAGCCGGCCAAAGTGAAAAATGTACTAGTAGGCGCCTATGACGGCACTACTAACCCAGAAGACCATCTGATGGCATTCACCAACCTGATGTACCTTCAAGGGTTGGATGATCCCACTTGGTGCAAGTGTTTCCCAGCGACTCTCAAAGGAATCGCACAGCAATGGTTCGGCAACCTGCCGGCTGGTTGTGTAAATAGCTTCAGGACGCTTGCTTACTTATTTGCCTCCAACTTCGCCATGAACATCCCTGCGAAGAAAACGACCCTTGATTTGGGAACAATTTAGCAGGGCGAGAAGGAGGGGCTTCGTTCTTACATCAGGCGGTTTAAGCTGATGAGAATACAGATTCAAGGGTTACCGGATGAGGTAGCTTATACTGACTTTTTCAGAGGTCTCAAAGACGGGTCTACCTTCAAATTTGATTTGGTTCGAAAAAGGGTGGCGACTCTTCAAGAGGCCTTGATTGAAGCAGAAGCCTATATACAGGCGACTGATCTTTGTACGATAAAACAGTCGGACAGGAAAAGGTTCGACAAAAGAGAAGGACGACAGAAACAGTCGTCTAACAAAGATGAGAGAAGAAAAGAGGTCTGGGCGGCTGATTCCTCTAAACAGCCGGCCCAGAAAAAGAAAAAAGAATTCAAACCATACTCCCCAAAGTATGCGTTTAACAAGGATAACCAGTTTATCCTAAAAGAAATCAAGGGACGGATCTCAATTGAGAAGCCGGTCCCCATGAAGGGTTCTGCAAACAACCGGAACCAAGATAAATTTTGTTCTTATCATGATGATGTTGGTCATCACACCAATGACTGCATCAGTCTCATGCGGTACCTAGACCGCCTGGCTGAGCAAGGTGATCTTGACACTTATGTCAAGAAATCTACGGGGAACACTTCCTCAAAAAAGCAGTCGGCCAAAAAGAATCAGCAGGCCGACAGCTCTGATACAGATGATGCAGTCGTCTACACCATTGCAGGCGGCTTCTCAGGAGGCGGCCCCACTATTAGGGGCAACAAAGACAATATCAGGCGGTTAGATGTAAATTCCGTTCACCAAGAACGGTCGTCCAAATATTCATTTCCTGATATTGTCATCCTGAAGAAGATCTAGGAGGGGTAAGGGGGCCGCATGACGACCCTCTCGTTATTGAATGTAAAGTGGCCAACCAGAGAGTTGGCCGAATCCTCATAGATACCGGAAGCTCCTCAGATCTCATCAGTAGCAAATGTCTGTCGAAACTAAAATATCAGACTGATTGCATACATCCGGCCTCCCACCCTTTAGTAGGGTTTGGAGGAGGAGTCGTCCACCCACTGGGACGAGTAGATTTACCCATCCGCCTGGGCGAAAAAGGGGAAGGACGACACATGGTAGTCCGGTTCCTGGTAGTAGAGGAACTCTCGGCCTACAACATGATTCTGGGTCGACCTACCCTGAATAATTCCAAGGCTGTCATAATCCCATCTCTTATGTTGCTCAAGTTTGAGAGGGATAATGGAACAGTCGGCTCCCTAAGGGGAGATCAGAGGATGGCCCGAGAGTGCTATCTCTCGGATGTCAAGCCCACTGTTATGGCTACTAGGTCAAGCGGTGAAAAAACAGACCTTGACAAGGAGAGTGTGCCTGTTCAAGAAGCAGGCGGCAAAAAGAGAAAGACATCCCAGACAGGGGCCTCAAGAAAAGCAAGAAAATAACAATCATTGGCAGAGGAGCGGCCGGATGAGTTCCGCCCTCAGCCGGCTGGTGAGCATGCGGACCTGATCTTAGACGACTCACGTCCTGACCGAACAGTCAAAGTTGGGACGACTGCTCTAAGAAACCTTGGTGACAACTTTCACAACCTATTGAAAGAATACAAGGACATCTTTGCATTCGAAGTCCATGAAATGCCAGGCATTAGTCCTGATCTGGCGGTACATAAACTGGCCGTGGATCCGAAAAAGAAGCCGGTACGGCAAAAGAAGCGGAACCATGGCGAAGAAAGAAGTCAGGCGGCAGCCGCCGAAGTTAAAAAATTACTTGATGCAGGGTTCATTCGGCAATGTTACTTCCCAGACTGGGTTGCAAATGTGGTGCTTGTTAAAAAGCCGAATGGCACCTGGCGAATGTGTGTAGACTACACAGACTTAAACAAGGCGTGCCCCAAAGACAGTTACCCTCTGCCTAAAATTGATAACCTGGTCGACTCAACAGCCGGCCATGCCTTGATGAGTTTTATGGACGCCTATTCTGGTTTCCATCAAATTCCTTTATGGAAGAAAGATCAGGAGAAGACGGCCTTCGTCACTGATCAGGGGTTATACTGTTACACGGTCATGCCGTTTGGTCTTAAGAATGCCCCGGCTACCTTCCAACGAATGATAAACACTGTGTTCTTTGATCAGATTGGGAGAAACGTCGAGGAATACATTGATGATATGATTGTTAAGACTAAACTTCAGAAAGATCATCTGTCGGACCTCCGAGAAACTTTTGCCACACTCAGGCGGCACCATGTCATGCTTAATCCCAAGAAATGTGTATTTGGAATTGAGTCTGGGAAATTTCTCGGATTCCTTATCAATCAGAGAGGAATAGAGGCGAACCCTGAGAAGGTGCAGGCGGTCATTGACATGCAGTCGCCTCGTACCATCCGAGAGGTTCAGAAGTTAACAGGTTGTCTGGCGGCCTTGGGAAGATTTCTAAGCCGATCAGGCGACAAATGCCTATACTTTTTCCAGGCAATAAAGAAAAAGGCAAGGTTTGAGTGGGGGCCGGATGCTGAGGTCGCCTTCCAGAAATTAAAAGTTCACTTGCATTCCTTGCCGAGGCTGGTCAGCCCTTTGCCCAAAGAGGTTCTCTACATGTACCTGGCCGTCTCTGATCATGCGTTAAGCGCTGTTTTCCTTGCTGA